ATATAAAACAGGAGATAAAGTTCTCTAATTGGTGCCTTTAAGTGTATTTATTTAATAGTTCATTTTTATATAATTCTGCTTTTATTTCTAATTATGTCAGTTTTGGTCCTCGGTACTGCAGAAGCCTGATAATCATATACTGTATTCATTCAAATCAGGTGTGTTTGAGCAGAGAAACAAGTAAAATATGCAGGGCTGCGGCCCTCCAGGACCAGGATTGCCCACCCCTGGTGTAGACTGAAGTTATCAGGAGGTTTCATGAAGCTCAGAGTAGCAGATCTACTCAGAAAGTCCTCACTGGARGTTCAACTGCTTCACTTCAGAGGGACCACTGCAGCTAACTGAGCTTACAACAACAAAACCAGCTGTATACTTATATTTACAAGCACTGAGCTATGGTTTGTGTGGTAGTACCTGAGAGTTTGAGCAGTAGCAGATCCCACAGATCACAGACATTTTTTCCAGTAATACCTGTTACGTCCTGAGTGATGATGTTTGAAACAAAGATTGAATCTGTTTGATGGTGATGACTCTCAGCTACTACCGCAGCACAGCTCAACGGTTCTGTGTAACTGCGGCTGCCAGCTTCACACTGATCCCTAAAGGTCATTTGTTGTAGAATATAAGTCAACTGATTACTTTTTGAGAAGTTTGTTTAAATTCTGTCCAGTGATTCATGAGATGTTTTGACACAAAAAGACACAATTACACCATCGTTCAATATGATTGAAATTTCCTGTTTCAACCAGAGGAGTTATGTAAAATGGGTAAGTTCTAGTGTTTTCCATTTATTCTGAGTGGTTTGGAAAAKCATCAGCCTGTTAAAAAAAAGGTCTGTAAAAATACTAGTTTGTAAAAAAAATTTAAAAATGACCTGTAATAAAAAAATGAAAGTGTAAAAAAACAGCTTGTGAGACTGTAAATAAACATCTGTAACAACATATGTAAAAACATTTGTTAAACAAACAGTAAAAACATCAGTCTGTAAAAATATGTAAACATCAATATGTAGAAAACTTAAATATTTGAGTTTCTTAAACAGCCAGTAAGTTTGAAAATAAACGTCAAAATGTAAAAAAAGAAAACTTTAGTCCTTGAACAGTCTGTAAAACTTTGTAAAATACAGCTTCTACGTTTGTAAATAAATATCAGTCTGCAAAAACAGTTTGTAATTAAATGTTAAAAAACAGTTTGTAAAAAATATAAACAGCCTGTAGAAAATAGTAAAAACACAATCCTGTAAATCAAAGCCTGACCTGTTATTGACCAGGGGTCAGATTTATAAAACTGGCGTACGCACAATTTGAGCCCAGAAACTTCCGTACGCCACTTTTCACGCCAAGGTTGTGATTTATAAAATCCAAACTTGACGTGAAAATGTGCGGTGCGTCAGCCAGCTCTGACCCATGTGTACTCTCATTTTGGAGACGTGAAACTGTGACACAGATGGTGAAGTGAGGAATTAGAGCCACACTGTGTCATGATCACTGTCAGAGATTTAATTTACCTTCATTAAAATTAGATTTTTATTCAACTTTATCATCAGCTTTCTTAACAGTAATATTTATGCTTCTGCTGCTGCTGCTGAGCCATGAGGACCTTTGAAATAAAAAAAAATTAAATAAAAGTTCCCGTGCGCAACTCCKTTCATCTGCTTCCTCCTCAGACGACCCTGACCCACACAGACCCCTCCCTGACCCACAGACCCCTCCCTGACAAGAACAGCAGGACAGCAAAAGTTACGCTTTGCATACACGCACAGGGCACATCCACCTCACCAGTGTGAATGTTATAAACCTTCACGTTTAAAGTCCGTGTTTGTCACGCCGGGGGGGTCTGCCGCGGATAACAGAGCAGGCA